GAGATTCGCGTTCGAGGTTCGCGGAGATCGCTAGGAGAACAATTTTCATCAGGTCTGACTTCCTCCGAGTGAGCGTGTGAAACACGTTTCGAGCCTAATTGCACCGCGGCGCGGCACTTTGCGACGAACAGAGGCGGCCGACGCGACGCGTGAATTTTACGTCACTCGAGCATCGTTAATTGTTTTGCGTGCTTTGGCTTTTCAGGGGTTTGGGAAAAATTCCTCCGGGATGTGTCCATCCGAGAGATTTTCGCGACAGTTGCTCTCCGCTGCTCTCCATAGTGTGTATTCTGGAGAGCTCAGGAGTTTGCTCGCGAAAAGAACATGGGTTTCATTGGGTCACATTCTCATAAGTCCAGCTTTTCTGACATAATTTGTTGTCGTTATTGGGAGACGTGATAATGTCCACGAATTGGATCATTTAACACGTTGGCTGCCGGAGCCAATTTCCGGAGAAATTCCACGTTTCTTCTCCCAGGTGCCAATATGTCAAACAGTAGTATAATGTGTCTTCTCAAAATCTTGTTTTCATTTATTCTATGGTCCTTCTTATGTTTTCAATAAACGGTAAAAGTTCATGTTTGTTACTCTTTTCTTGATGTGACACGAAACTGTAAAAACGTCTTGTACAGTTTTGTACATAAGAAAATTGTAATATAAAATAAAGTGTAGTGTAAGATGCATTGCAGTGTATCTCGCGGCACAGTGGGAAAGACGGCGTGTGATCACGTGGCAGGCAACGTGTTAAAATTGCGCTTTGCTCTTGTTGCCCTTTGGGTGCCCTTGTTGCCCTTTTGGTGCCCTTTGGTGCCCCTTGTTGCCCTTTGGTGCCTTTCTTGCCCTTATTGCCCTTTGGTGCCCTTGTTGCCCTTTGGTGCCCTTGTTGCCCGTTGGTGCCCTTGTTGCCCTTTGGTGCCCTTGTTGCCCTTTGTTGCCCCTGCGCCGCACAGTGTCTGAATTCGTCGAAATCCTGGCCAAAAGTCATATTTCCAAATCTAAGATAATTTATCGTACTAAATTGTCATAATATGACTGTAAAATGTTAATGTACTTATTTAACGTTAAATATTGAGTATAAAAATATAAAATACACCGTTTTTCAGTTGTTTCTTAACATTTATTATAAAATATTAATCAATTATATTCTTTTTCTTGTGCTACCTCTTCTCCTCCTTCATCCTCTTCCTCTTCAAGATAAAACTGTCGTACCAAATTGCAATAATATATTGTTAAAATGATAATGTGCTTTTTCAATGTTAAATATTAAGTATAAAAACAATTTTGACCAAATATAGAAGTGATGATAAATACTTGTTAGTATAAGAATGTAAAATACATCCTATTTTAATCGTTTCTTAATATCTATTATAGAATATTAGCTAATTATATTCTGGCTCCGGGGGCAAATTCCTGAGCAGCGCTCAGTACTCTGCTAAATTTCACTCTCCTGAGCAACTCTCGATAGTTCTATTCCTCAATGGAGGTCTACTAACATTTTAAATCAAATGTGAAAAACTTCCTTCCATATTTTTGCCATTTCTTCCATCAAAGAAATTTTCATCCTCCGTCTTATTCACCCTTTCAATACCAACGTCGACTTTAATCTGCATCCACATAACGAAAGGTGGATACCAGCGCAGACTATAGTCACTCATAAGAGGAAGCTTACTTGCAGACGCGTATAAGAAAAGGGTTAAATTACGTATACAAATTTTCTCGTGAAAATAGTATCTTGAGAAGGTATTGTAATCACGTGGCACACCCTGTATAATGCTTCGATACGCTACCTGGCTATATTTCTTCGACCGACTATACCTTCCAAGTCACATGGCGTTACATAGAGGGTTGAAAGTATCATTCGAGTGTAAAGGGTTAATTCTCTTAATACGCTACCTGGCTATATTTCTTCGACCGACTATACCTTTCAAGTCACATGGCGTTACATAGAGGGTTGAAAGTATCATTCGAGTGTAAAGGGTTAATTCTCTTAATTCGACCTCGAATATCTTTCATGTCTCTCTCTCTCTCTCTCTCTCGATTTCACTCTGAACGGATAAATCTACCGCTTTGTTCACCCGTTTTATCGTTATCACGCCTACGAATTATCCACGTGGACATCGTCCTTGGCAACGACGCCTCGGAGAACAATCAGAATCGATCGTTGCAGATGCTGCTGCTTCTGCTGTGTATCAAGCAAAAACGTCACTATCGCCCCTTTTCTCTCCAATAATAATAATAATCGTTCGATCGTGTGTCAGATACAGGAATCTCTGGCTGCTCTGTTTTTTCCCCTCTCGATTTTTTTTTTTTTTTTTTTTTTTTAAAAAATCTTTCAATAAAGCTTGGCGAGTCGTCTGCCTTCACGTCTCGAAGGCCGCGAGAAATTACCGGCAATTTGCGGTTTTCAAAGGGTGCAATTAGCTTGTCATGCCTCGGGGAATTTTAACGAGCAGCTGACTTATTGCCATCGACGATAGTTACGTCATGTTCGACGTGAAGATTGAGAGAGAAATTTTCTTTTGTCACTCTTTTTCTAATTCGTGTGTGCTCTCTTTTCCGCGATGTGCGGTCAAGTACACCAGAGATAAGAATTCTTGGACCACCGTGTATATTCAAAGATTTTC